GGAAGTACCTTCCTTAGGTAACTCAGTGGTCTCTACTCCAAAATCAGATTTTGCTTCACATAGTCACATAGGTTGCCCAGAGAGGTGGTGGATGCCCCATCCCTGGAAACATTCAAGACCAGGCTGGACGGGGCTCTGAGCAACCTGATCTAGTTGAAGATGTCCCTGCCCACGGCAGGGGGGTTGGACTAGATGACCTTTAGAGGTCCCTTCCAACCCAAACTATTCTATGATTCTATACCGTATTACAAATACAAATAAACAATTCTGATCTATCTTCTTCTTATTGATTTAATCACACATTAAGTACCAAGATCCACAATCAGGATTCTGGATTACATTCTGGCCAAGGTTGCCAGAAGATACATAGTGCAACCTAATCTGCCCATACTGTGAGTCCTCACTAGATCCAATACAGTTCTTGCAAACGAATGGTTATAATGTACAGATTATGTACCAACAAGCACATTTAATCACATAAATTTTGTATAAATTAAAGCACATTCTAAAACCAAATTAAAGAGAATTGGAGTAAACATGCTTTACACGGTTTGTAGAATGAGTAGAGAGAGTCTTGTTATTAAGCAAACCCCTTGGTCTTGGTGGTGACAGTGCAGAACCTGTGAAGACCTCCAAAGAACTATTCATTCCAGTGACTGCTGAGCAGAGGGAGTGATTAACAACTTAAACCCCCCCCTATTTTAGTGGGAGCCAAAAAACCAAAATACAAAGCAACTAGACTTCAGGGCTATACAATTAGTTTTAGTGCAAAGTATTATTATATAGCGATTCTTAATAGAACTTTTCTTATGCAAATGTTGAGGGTGATGATTGTTAAATACCAAAACAGCAGGTGAAGACAAAGCCAGATAATGTACTGAAAGCTTTTCAGAGTCCTTACATTACAGTTAAAAATAGAACTTCAAAGACTTTAAAGCTAACAGGAAGTCTCACTTCAAGGGAGAACACATTGAAGACTTGTCATAATTCAGGCAAATTGTTTGCACTATTTTCGCTGCTGAGAAATAGTTAAGTAGTCTTCAAGTGACAACAGTCTTGTTGAAGTAAGTACATGTAACTTACCCCTAGGAAAAGATCAGAATCCAAGCCCCCACTTTCTGTTGTGCAGAAAACTATAAGCAGCTCTTGATTCAGAGGATTAGCTCAGGAGATTAAATCTTTATACTTTAAAAAAAGTGTCTGGTTAAGTCCTCATAGGCCTTAAACATCAAGTCACTGCATGAGTTGGTAAAACAATAAGATGATCCAATAACCCAGCAGCAATCCAACTGCAAGCAGGCAGATCAAGAAACTTGGCAAGCATAGGAAGTACTCTGCATGCATGCCAAAGAACCAAATTCTGAAGTGATTTCTGTATATTAATGAATGAAACTGTGTAGCATGCTTTACGACAAAAAATGTTATTTACAGTATACATTATCAACCGTGAACTAAGCTTCCCGAGTACAAGATTGCAAATAACAAAATTGCATCGTTTACAGCAATGGTAACAAAAATTATGAAGCCTGGAATGAAGGTATTGCAATGCACTCCTGCAATGTAATGCAAGAAAAACTTGATGAACAGCAAAACTTCATGAGCTAAATAGCACGGTGGTTTCAAAGTTTGTACTGTATTTCTTTACAAAGTTAAATGTTTCATAAATACACAGTCACAAATAGACAGATACTCTTAAAACAGTAAAAAAAAAATATTCCATTACACTTTGTGGATCCTGGTTTCCAATGAACCCAAGCAATGTTAAATATTGCTGTAGTAGATTTTATACTTCACTGCTAATTTTTACACCAAGCAAACACTGCAAGAGGGAAAATAGACCTTTATGACACAAGAGGGAAAAAAAGTAATTCCTGTCCTTTCCACAACGCCTACGTTTACAGAAAACCATGGATCTGATCCTTCAACTGTACACATTTAATTTTACTCTCATGAGCAAATCTCATTGATTTTAATAGAAAAGAATTCTTATTAAGAAAGGCAAACAAGAATCCGCATATATTCTGGACTGAGGAAAAATTGGGCCTTTTACACAGTAATTACTTCAGTAAACACATTATTGCTCCTATACAGAGGTTTTGCTTACACAAGGAAAAATGTTACAGAACAAAAAACTGCACATTAAACATTTCAACTAATATAGTAAAACTTTATTCAAATAAGTTTACACAGACTGCCATCGATAAAAACATTAGCGTGTTGTAGTTAAATGAGATTGAATTCTGCTGCACATTCTGTATTCCAACTGCTCCAAGCACAGTGAGCTATCAGTCCTCAGGAGGCAGAATCCTGCCTCATGTAAAGTCAATGGGAATTTTGCCATTGGTTTCAGAGTAGAAGAATGTTTTGGAGTCAGCTTCCTCCCCCTCTCCCCTTTTTTTAAAAAAATAAGTCAGACCAGAGTGAAATCCTCCCCATTATGAAGACATTTGACGAAAAACCAAAAAGAAAGTAAGTATACAGGATTTATTCTCAAATCTCTTGCAACAATTAGATTCCAGCAGAAGCTGAGAATTTTATCATCTTTCTCTTCTATATGCACCCTCCCAACCCCATTTTGTTTGATTACATATAAACAAAATCATAGGCATGAATTTCATTAAGACTGGAAAAGTATGTACCAGAGCGGTTTAATACGCAGAACAATGTATCACATGCAGTAGGATTAATCATGCTCGGTTCAGATCACTGAACACTTGGCTGTGCATACTCTCCTTTTTGAGTGAGAGTTGCCCTTGTCTGGGTATTTCTTTCCTTGAGCTGTACGAAGCTATCATTTTGCCCCTCTTTTATTCCGTAAAGAATCTCAACTAGGGATACATGCCTTTCAAGTGTGAAAATTGCTGGACTCCAGAAGGGCTCCGCATTTGATACTCGGGAAGTTACAAAAGCAGGAGGGGAATGCTATCTAATCTTAACTGTTTAGGTACACAAACATGTTGCCAGATGACCCAAATGTCCAGATCTCTCCTAAGGCTGTATTTTTGTGTTGGCAGACAGAATTTCCCTTGAAAGCTAAAAATGAGGCATATACCAGTAGGAAAAAAACCAAACAAACCAACATTTGATTTATGAGAAGCAAAACTGCATTATGTTATGCCAGGTCCTAGTCAGCTCCCTGCCAGCCACAGCAAGGAGCTTGGGTAACTTGATTTGCTACTGAATTTGGGTATCTAAAACAAAGATAGCATTATTGTGGTTGCTGTGTTTTTTAATTGTTTTCTCAGTGAGAAAACTTCCAGTTTGTTACCAACATAATTCTGAAGTAAGAGCAAAACCATAAATCAGCTGCTTGCAAAAGCTTGCAGACCGTGACAGAAGCACTCTGAATATTTCACCGATGTATACTTCTGGACGCCTATCTAGTAAAAGTAAGATGCTGTTATTAAGGAGTCTCCACAGAACTGTTCTGCAGCAAATAAGCTCCATGTAGTCCTGCCACTACATTTTCTTGCATGAAAAGTTTCCTGTGATGAATATAAAGCCCATAAAGTCTGTGTGACTTGGTATATTTCGAGCAGAATAACTCACACGCCTTGCAGAGGTACCTTGCCTTGGATGCTAATGTTTGACTTTTGTGTTCTTCCCCTACAAATCTTTCTACTGATATGTTAGCTTTACAGATTTACCCTAGTTACAGGCTCTACCACCAACCCAAACACCAGTGTATCACAACCTGAAGACAGACGAAAGCTCCAGAACTTGGGGGAAAAAGAAACACTTATTTCTGGAAGGCTTAAATGAACAGCTGAGTTGCCTTAACTGGAAGAAAGCAGCAATTGAAAAGCATCAAATCAGGCTTGTACCTCCAGAAAACTGTTTGACAATTTGGATCCATACAGATAGTCTTTTACTAAAAAGTTACACTATACGGTATCTGGCTTAAAAAGTTGTTCCCACGGAACAGCAGCAAGATGTAATCATAGGAGGCTTATTTCTTCTTTTCAGCTCAGGAGAGAATTTAAACTTCACTGTCACTGGGTTAAAACTTACACTATTATTCAACTCCAGGAGGCAAGGGCATAAAATCATTGTGCCCAAAGAAACTAACATAAAATATTCCATGGGGCTTCCAAAACTTGCAAAAAACCTGAAAATGGAACCTGTGCTCTCTTTCACCACTAAGGACTAAGCCACACACTGGCCCATAAACAGCAACAGAGTATACTTTAACAGAAACAGTAAGCCAAAAATCTGGATAATCAGAAGAGCCATTATTAGTACCACTAATTTTAGGGAAGTAACAATAGCATCCAAAACATTCAAATAAACTATAGGAAGCATTAGAAATCTGCAAACTCTAAGGCAGTGAAAGAGTCACAATAGCTGTGCTTGAGCGGGCTCAAGCTCTACTGTTGCTAGTGGCAGAACTCCTACAGTTCATTGGCAGACTTCAATGAATTTAGGACTTCTCCACTAATTCTAACATATGCTAAACGAAAGTTTAGAGCTTTCATTTTAAGATGACCAGATTTAAATATAACTCAGAACTATACAATGCTCATTGAGTTCAAGAGGCTTATCATAAAAATTCATGTGCAAAAATCTAAGTTAAAAAATTTACTATAAAAAAACTGAAAAAAACCTACTGTATCCAGAATTTTCCCTCAAATACTGTAACTTTCATCTTTCAGTTGGCACACAGCTGACATTGCAGTACCACTTTAATGTGCAAGAAATAAATGGAAAGAGAGAAATGGGAAATAAAAAAAATTAAATGCTGTCAGCCAACCACCACCACAGAGTAAATGAGTGAGACATCCTAATTTCTCAGTTTTACCTTACGGCACCATTATGAATACAGATAACAGTAGTAATCAAACATAACAAAGAATTTTCCCCATTGTAATACTATTGATGTTTTGGCCATACACACAGGCCAAAATTCTACCACTTATCTAGTGAGATTTTCGAAATGGAATATACCCTTTCCAATCATCGCATTTCTAGACTTGCAACAAAAAAAAAAAAAAGACCCTTACCAGGAATAATCATGAATAACAGCCTGGGTAGATTTTTACTTTCATCTTTTGAGAGGTCTTTCCAGGGCCCACACTTTAAGACATGTGTAGCAGCTCCACAACAGTAGATAAATTCTTCATGTAACGGGACTGGCTCTTCTGATGCTAACTTCATGTTTGCTGTTAGACAGAATATGATACTGTTACAACAGATCAGCGAATATGTACATAGCTGTCTCTGCTATTATACCTTCCCATAGAATAACTGTTAAAAAAACCCAAACCACCCTCCCCAAACAGCTGTCATCTCCAGTAAACAGAGGTCCAATTCAATATTTGATGTTTGAATAGGTTGTAGAAGTTGATACATGTTACTACTGAGAGAAAGCACCTTTCAGTTTTTGTCAGAGAAATATATGGTGATGAACTGGACAATAAGATCTATTCTACCTTAAAGGCAAATACTTTTAAATTTATTATTCACACTGTCCACTGAAAAGATTCAGTTGAAACCTATTTGAAGGCAAACAAAAGAAAAAATACCAAACAAACGGAACTACTGCATGAATGCCTTCACAAATTCTGTGTGCCTCAACTATGGGAGCACAGCATCACTTAAAAACAACCACCAAAAAAACCCAATGTCGTGGTTTAACCTCAGTCGGCAACTGAGCACCACACAGCTGCTCACTCACTCCTGGCGCCCCCCACGGTGGGATGGGGGAGAGAATCGTAAGAGTAGAAGTGAGAAAACTCATGGGTTGAGATAAGA